GTGCACAGGACTACAGTCGAGCTTGTGTCTATGTACGTGTGCACAGGACTACAGTCGAGCTTGTGTCTATGTACGTGTGCACAGGACTACAGTCGTCCCCCGAACATAACGAACCCTGATAATGAATGTATACAAGTTACGTTTCTGACCCGGTACAACCATAATGAGGGTGCGTTGTGTTCGGGGGAGGGGGGGAGTTCGGGGAGGAGGAGGAGGCAGGCAGAATCGGTGAGGTGGATGTGTGGAGAGAGAGAGAGAGAGAGAGAGAGAGAGAGAGAGAGAGAGAGAGAGAGAGAGAGAGAGAGAGAGAGAGAGATTCAGTCGGAATGCAAGAGCCGATTTTTTATTATTATTATTATTTTTTTAATTAATTAATTAATTAATTAATTAATTAATTAATTAATTAATTAATTAATTAATTAATTTATTTATTTAGAGAGAGAGAGAGAGAGAGAGAGAGAGAGAGAGAGAGAGAGAGAGAGAGAGAGATTCAGCCGGAATGCAAAAGCCGATGTTTTTTTTTCTTCCGGAGTTGTGTATACCGAAGAGTACAGTACGCAAATACACACACACACACACACACACAAAGCGTGAGAGAGAGAGAGAGAGAGAGAGAGAGAGAGAGCCGGAATGGAGGAGCCGGTGTTTTTTCTAATTTTCGGAGTTGTGTATACCGAAGGGTACAATACGCAAATACACAGACACACACACACACACACACACACACACACAGAGAGAGAGAGAGAGAGAGAGAGAGAGAGAGAGAGAGAGAGAGAGAGAGAGAGAGAGAGAGAGAGAGAGAGGATGTTTTTTTGTTTTCGGAGTTGTGTATACCGAAAAGTACAATACACAAACATGAGAGAGAGAGACGTGCTAGGAGGGGGATATCGATTTGTTGTTCTATTCTGCGCAGCATATGCGATCAGAAGCCATTTTATTGAAAGCATGGACGGACAATATGAATCCACGTCAGCTTGCCTAATACGTCAGCAGCACGGGCACCCAGACATGAACATCAATCTCTGCGTTTGAGCTTGCACGCAGGGCTTTATCTGCGCACGCCGCACGCAGTAAGGGCAAATTTTAATTCGGACTTTCTCCTGTTGTTCCATTCAGTCCACACGATGATCTTACTTAACACTATCAGTGCCAGTGGACTACGTTAGCGAAAAGGTCGCACGGATTTAGGCTGTGGGAACTATCGGTAGTGCGGGGCCACATGGACGTAATTGCGCGGTATTATTCTGCATTTATGCAAGACTGTGGTCCCGCAATGCGCGAGCAGGAGGACAGGCTGAAGTCCTACTACGGTAGGACTTGTTCGGCTGAATCTGACAGTTGCTGTCACATATATATATTTCTTTGTTTCGTGGATGTTTTGCTGGCTTGTGATGGGGTGTGAACCGACAGTCTGTAGAGTTTTCCATCTGGTGTGGGTGAGTGATAGTCTACTTTGATTTTGGTTAAGGTAGATTATCATTTACAGTGTAATCAGNTGATGAGTCGGTGAAACTCCGACGAAACAGTTTGTCACAGCCCCTCGTTTGTTGTCCTCTTCTCACTCTCTGCCTACGGTTTACCGGGCAGTTCTGTTTGTGACGATATATATGTGACGATATATATATTGTCACACTGTGAATCAGAGCGCGAAGGCGAAAAAGAAAAAAGAAAAAAGGAAAGGAAATAAATAAATAAATAATTAAAATAAATAAATAAATATATATTTATCGGTGAAACTCCGACGAAACAGTTTGTCACAGCCCCTCGTTTGTTGTCCTCTTCTCTCTCTCTGCCTACGGTTTACCGGGCAGTTCTGTTTGTGACGATATATATATATCGTCACATGAATATCAGAGCGCAAAAGCGAAAAAAAACAAAAGGAAGCAAAAAAGATATCAATTCATTTTTTATCTTCTTCCTTACGACTCCCCCTGTTCAGAACCACTTGCGTATTGCCAGGAGCAAGGTAGCAGGACACAGGCCTGTATTTGGTCAAATTGTTCCTTGATTTTCCTACAGCTCCTGAGATTGAAATGGTAATGTGATACCCGAGCAAATGCTCGTAAGCGAAACTGGGTAATGCTCCCAGGGTAACTCCGGGTTGAATTGTGAGGTCCCCGGCCTCGATTCTCTCCTGTTATAATGAGAAGCGACAATTAAAAAAAAAGAAAAAAGAAAAAAAGAAAACGGGTCCAGCGTAGAATTATAGAATTAAAAAAAAAAAAAAAAAAGAACCTCTTGCGTACAAGGCCGCCCACGTGGACATTGTGACGATATATATGTATGTATATATATGTATATACGATATATATAAACAGAACTGCCTGGTAAACCGTAGGCATATAGGATCTGTTTTTAGTGCTGTTGTTTATTGCCCCCTGTTCTGTTGTATTTGGCTGTTTCCTTCCTCTCTTCTTTGCCTCTTTGCCCTTTGGCTGTGTGCAAGTGGCTCGATATGACACACGGGGGTGGGGGCAGCCGCCGCTCAACCTACATCCACGTGGGCGGCCTTGTACGCAAGAGGTTCTGAACAGGGGGAGTTGTAAGGAAGACGATAAAAAACGAATTCATTCTTTTCTTTTTTTGCTTTTTCTTTTTTTTCGCTTTAAATTTGCGCTCTGATATTCATGTGACGATATATATATATCGTCACAAACAGAACTGCCCGGTAAACCGTAGGCAGAGAGAGAGAAGAGGACAACAAACGAGTATATACATATATATTTTATTTTATTTTATTTTTTTTGGGGGGGGAGTGGGCTGTCAGATATATCGAGGAAGGCAGTCGTAGTAACGGTATGCGCTAAGTAAAAGAAAGGAAAAAAATAGAACTATGCGCTCAGTGGGGCCGTGAGCACTTAACGTCCCGACATACGAATGATGTTATCATGGTTCGATCCGTTGGTTTGTCCGTTGGGAGAAAATGCTCCCTCGGTAATTAATGACGGACGTGTCTGAAAATTGGAACGATACAGAGAAGATCAGCATGACCCATTGACCCCTGCGGAATCAAGGATGGCGCGACAATTCGAGAGATGAAAAAAGGAGAGAAAAAGACAAGTCTTAGATCAGCATGACCCCTGCGCAATTAAGGATTACGCGCCAAATCGACAGATAAAAAATTTAAAGGAGACAAGGGCGAGAAACCGGTGGCTATGGGCGTCGCTCCACTACTCCGGAAATGCATAAAAGACAAAAATCATGGCGATGTATCTTTCCTTGTTCTAGGGGAAGATTCACTCTCGTTTTGCACATTTCAAGAGTGGTGGAGCAAGGGTAAGGCGCTATGATAGACTTGTTCGTGGGAGATTGACCGACTTTCGTCACACTCTCTGACTTGGCATACACAGCACCTTCGCTAAAAGTATTCCAACCCACTTTCGCTTCCAGCTGCCTCCTCCTCCTGCTTCTCCTTCTCCTGGTGTTGCTGCTCTTCCTTTTTTTTCTTCTCCTCCTTTCCCTCCTCCTCTGCCTTCTTTCATTATTCATTTTTCACGTAAAGCTGCTTTTGAACTTCCAAGGTCTGAGTTTCTGGTGGCTATCTTTCTCAAAGTCTATTCCTTTTTGCTGAACTTCTTTTCCTTCTTCAAAAAGGTCTTGTCGTGGTCGTGAAGCTTGTTTGGTCATTCATCTTGTTTTGTAGTTCATCTTGTTTTGTTGCTTATTTTGTTTTGTCGTTCATCTTGTTTTGTTGCTTATGTTGTATTGTTGCTTATCTCGTTCGTTCGTTTTGTCATTGCAGTGTACAAGTGGATTCGAAGAAGATGTTGCGTAAGAAGAAGGGTTGGGAGAGGCCTACATTTGCCGTGCCTTTGGCGATGAGGCCGGGGGAGTTTGGCGCCGGCTCGCCGGTGCGACGAGTTGGAGTGACAGTGGGCTTAGCTGTCGCCTTGGCATTGATAGTGGGCTTAGCTGCCGCACACTTCCGAGCGGGCTCGGACGTGTTTGCAGGGCTCAAAGGGTCCGCAGGATTTTCTTATTATGCTGCTGCAGGGAACAGTCGAGAGCGAGAGAATTCGCCGCCGCTGCTTTCCCGATTGCCGATGACAGCAGCTGGGCTGTACGATGTGACATCGGACGATCACGGCGGGACGGAGAACGACATCTCATCGTCCCTGACAGTAGAGGACTCTGTGGAAGGCCAACTTGAAGATCTACGGTTCAGAAATACCGTCTCAGGTATGAATGGTCGGCGTTTTGCGCGATATTCTAATGGGAAGGAGAAGGCGGAGGAGAAGGAGATGCAGTAGGGGAGAGTAGTCGTATGAGGAGGAGGGGGCGGGTGTGGAAACGATGGAGGAGGAGGGGGAGGGGAGTTGGAAATGAGATGGTCTGGCAACGCGTGGATTGCGTCTGGCGAGGAAACGAGGACAAAAGATTGTGTGTGTGTGTGTGTGTGTGTGTGTGTGTGTGTGTGTGTGTGTGTGTGTGTGAGAGAGAGAGAGAGAGAGAGAGAGAGAGAGAGAGAGAGAGAGAGAGAGAGAGAGAGAGAGAGAGAGAGAGAGAGAGAGAGAGAGAGAGAGAGAGAGAGAGAGCTGAATTGATTCATCTCGCTTATCATTTTTTTTGCTGCTCTTGATGTTTATCCTCCGCACTGCTGGTGTCCACCTTTTTTTGGGCTTTTTTGTCTATGTTTGTTTCGTTCCAAATTTCCTCTCTCTCTCTCTCTCTCTCTCTCTCTCTCTCTCTCTCTCTCTCTCTCTCTCTCTCTCTCTCTCTGTGGTTGGCTGGTCGGGGGGACCATTTCCGCTAAAACCATATATTAATCCCAAAACAAAGCGTTTGACTGACAAAATCCATCCTCAGCCTTTTGCCGATTCATGCTGGCTGTTGTGTGTATGTGTGCTCGCTTATGTGTCTATGATTATCAGGGTCCACCCAGTGTGACTTGACGAAAGGGAGATGGGTAGCTGGGCCGGAGATGTCCCCCTATAGCGAGAACACGTGCAAGTACATACCAAGCAAGTGGAAATGCAGAAGGTACGGTTGCTCCGGCTTCTACCCCGAGAACCGGTTATGGTGTTGGGTCGTGGCACAGTTAAATCTTCGACCATAGATTCCTTTCGGGTAGAGGGGGAAAGAGGAGGGAGGGAATTCAAAGTGGAATGTGGAGAGGGGGCGCATACGAAAGGTGGGTGGGTGTAGCGGGAGAGTGGTCAGGGGGGAACACGTACAAGCCAAACATCTTTAAATCGAGCACAACAACAGAAACAAATGTCAGTCGTCGCTCTCTTCCTTTGTGACAGTTGTGTCTTAGGGTGGACTCACAGTACAGCTTTTTCGAATGAATTTGGCCTCGTTTGGGCTCCAATACACCCACTGGCAGAAAGTCCTAGTGTGACTACGTCCTTAACGCAGCTACACGTTGTCTGCCAGTTGTCACGATCCTAGATCTCGCAAGTGTGCCACTACCGTCTTCTCTCCCCCGAACATAACGCACCCTCATAATGAGTGATTCTGAATGTATACAGGCCATCTTTCCGGTTGGATGCAGGTGCGTTGTGTTCGGGGGAAGATTGTAGTCGTCATGATCCTAGTGAGGGTGCGTTGTGTTCGGGGGAAGATTGTAGTCGTCATGATCCTAGATGTTCCGGGTGCTACCGTAGTTGTCAGAATCCTAGAGCTTGCAGCACCCTCAAAATGATTGATTCTGAATGTATACAAGCCATCTTTCCGGTTGGATGCAGTCGTAGTGAGGGTGCGTTGTGTTGGGTGGAAGATTGTAGTCGTTGTAGTCGTCATGATCCTAGATGTTCCGGTGCTACCGTAGTTGTCAGAATCCTAGAGCTTGCAGCATAATGATTGATTCTGAATGTATACAAGCCATCTTTCCGGTTGGATGCAGTCATAGTGAGGGTGCGTTGTGTTCGGGGGAAGATCGTAGTCGTCATGATCCTAGACCTTCCAGATGCCATCATCATTCATTTGATTTGCTTTGATTTGCTTTGCTTTGATTTGATTTGCTTTGCTTTGCTTTGTTCATGCTTTTCTTGGGACTGCCGTCGCAAAGGGCTTCGGGACACTCACTGCACTGGAAGACCACAGCATTACATGAACATGATTGCAGGTGCCGCCGTAAAGAATCTACGACCATTATAGCCTAACGGTGTTGGTATCGCTTTGCTATGATCCTAGTATCCATTTGATGTTGCAAGACTCATTTTTGAGATGATGCTATTCATTTCATCTAAAGAAGAAGGAAAAAGAAGAAGAAGAAGAAGTGTTATGGGACCAGGATAGAAGAAGAATGAAGAAAGGAAAAGAAGACAAACACACGTCGATTTAGCCAATCTCATCATCTCTCCCTCCCCCTCTAGCTATCATCGTCTCCCTCACAAGATCGCCTCCTGCTCTTCTTAACAATGAACACCAATCATAAATGGAGGAAAGGAATGGACAAGAATCAATGCCTGAATGATTGATTCCCCTTACTGCCAGCGTACAAAGAGTTTAACTTCTTCTTGAGTCTCCTCTCACTCTCCTCTCCCCCCCTGGTATGGCGACTACCGTCTTCCCCCGAACACAACGCACCCACATTTTTAATGTATCGGGCCGGAAACATTTCTTGTATACGTTCATTTTCAGGGTGCGTTATGTTCGGGGGAAGACGGTAGTACCCGAGTAGTTATGGCAGTTTACCCATGCCTATGCCTAGCACAAATTTTCAGCGGAAAATGCAATAATTACGATCAATGACATGCCTCTCGCCTATACTTCCCCCAAATTGAAAGCCCTCTACCTCCGTATGAAGTCCATATACGACTTGCACTTCAGCAGGCCTGGGGCCTTCTTTCTTTCTATCTTTTTTTTTTTTTTTTTTGATGCAGTGCCAATCTGGAAGATGAAGATGAAGGTAGGCAATTATACCCAAAGGTAAGTCTCCTTGTCCGGTCCCACCTCCGTCCCAGTTGTCAGCAAATCAAGTGGCACTGCATGGATCTCGAATCTAGTCATGGTCCTCATGCAAGCATCCTGGTCTGGAAACGACATCATGATGAGAATTCAGCAATTTGTGCCCACAAGAGCCTATGTATGTGTCCTTGGGGACATCCGTTCAAATTGGAACGATACAGAGAAGGGTAATTACTAATTAGCAAATGGCCCCTGCGCAAGGATGACACGCATGAATCGAGAAATGGTCCAAATTTTTCAAAAAAAAAAAAAAAGAAAAAAGAAAAAAAAAGAGCCTATGTATGTGCCCGTCTGCTGGAGCCAATTTTTTGAGGCTACAGGTGAGTCCATTTTCAGCAGACCAGTTAGTCAAGCAAAAAAAAAAAAAAAAAAAAAAAAAAAGCAAACACTGGGCCAACTCAACACTCTATAGACGAGCAGCTCAAGACTTAATATTTTAGACATTCTCCAAGAAATCTGAGAAATTAAATGCAAAGATATGTCAAAGGAAAGACTCTGAATCAGATTCTCAGCAAACACTCGGATTTGCTCATCAGAAACTCAGATTTCTGAGACTGAAAACCATGTGGCTTATTGCAGCAGTGGGCCGGGGATTCACAGGGCTCGATGACTTTGCTGGGTCTATTAAMCCCCGCCTGTACCTTTCCCAGGCAAAAAAAAAGGCCCGGCGGTTAACACGGAGGCCTCACCGGGGCCGCGTGTGGGCCAGATGCAGCTCGAAAACTCGGCGTGCAGGGCCTGCGGCCGACATATGGGAAAGGTAATGGCGGTTTAATTGGTCTAGTTTGATTGGGTATGAAATTGCTATCCCTACTACCGTCTTCCCCCGAACATAACGCACCCTGATCATGAATGTATAGAAGCTATCTTTCCGGTCCGGTAGGCAAAACGAGGGTGCGTTATATTCGGGGGAAGACGGTAGTAGGGAGTATCAGTTTGCTAGCCCTAGTGGGGGTACCACTTAGCTACCTAGCCTTTGTGGGGGGTATCAATTTGCCAAGCTTTGTGTGCTAACAATCAAAATTATGGGGTGCTACAGCTACCTATTTAGGCGGTCTTGGGTGTTGTAAAATTTGCTGGTTATGGAAAGTTTGAGCAACAGGCCACTGGGTTTACTGGTTATGTAAAAAAAAAAAAAAAAACTCTTGATAAATTTCCTGGTTGACATAACCCATGGAGTTCCTGGGTTGCCGCTTAACCCACTGAGCTACTGGGCTCTGTAACCCAATGGGTTAGAACTTAGGAGTTGCTGACGAGGAGGGGGGGGGTTGCACTGGATTTATGGGTTATGAATTTCGCCATCATGTTACTGAGTTAATATTTAACCCATGGAGTTTAACTTAGTGGTTCTGGTCTGTTTGCTCGATGGATTGCTTTGCCTACAGGTCTGTTTTAATTATGATGATGATGATGCTTCTGGCGTGCTCGTATGTGCAGGGAGGGTAGGGATACCAACTACTCAAGATGGAGGTGGCAGCCTGACGACTGTAACCTGGAGCAATTTAAGGCGGATGTATTCTTGGAGCTTTTCCGAAATAAAACGATAGGATTTGTGGGTGACTCCATTCTGCGCAATGTTTTCATATCATTTCTGTGCTTGCTCAATGCCTTCCAGCCTGTTGTCCCTGTCAATGGAACAACGTTCAAGTCTCGCTTTGCGAGTTTTGAAGTGCCAAGGTATGCTGCTTTTTTGCCTTATTAATATGCCATCTTACAAAGGGCCCTCCTTTTCTCATCATCATGATGTAAGAAGCTGCAATAATGCCTGATGTTTTCTGTGTTTTATCTGGGGCTCGGTCCCATTAGCCAAAGGATAAGATGGCATTCTAGACGTGGGCGGGGTGGGAGGGGGAGTTTTAAACAGCAGGAAAAGACAGAAAAAGAAAATACAAAGGCGATGAAACGGGGGGGGATCCCTCTGAAAGACATGGGGATGACGACTTTCTGCATACTCCCACTAGCATTTTTTCTAAATGTATCCGAATGCAATTGCCGCTGTACACGTATGCATGTCTGGGCAGGGAATCCAAGAAGTCGTATTGCTGAATTCAAGCAAATCCACGTCTGACCCCTTGGCCAAGGAAGAGTCAGACGGACAGCCATTTTTTAATTGAAACATGCACTTCGTGAAAACTGGACCGAAACGAAAGTCCATTTTGCCAAATTATGCTATACCTTTTTCCGTAAACTAGTTTTGAGCACAAGATTTAGACCTCAGGTTTAAGTGTCACAACAAGACAAGGAAAAACTGTTTTTTTAGAAAACACGGTTAGCCCTGCGATCCATGTCTCACAACAACATATTTAAAAAACAGGTTTTTTTCCAAACTGAAGGCACCCGAAGAAGCCACGTCAATAACATAATAGTTTGCAGAAAATTTGAGGTCGTCCACCAGTATAATCAAGAGACCATATAAGAAATAAAAATTGGCCAGACTCTAAAAAGGGTAGAAGAGCAAAGAAACGAATTCCCAATTGCCATCATCAACTTTGTCCCCACAAAAATAGAAAGAAAAATCCCCTGCAAATAACAATTGGGTTAGCGTGATCCGCAATCAAACAACACAGTAATTAAGCCACGTCAGTTGCCTCCGCGACGAGATTCAGAAATTAAATCGATTACGTAATCGATTCGATTTCAGAATGTCGTCCTGGAGGCAATTAATCAATTAAGTAATCAATTAATCAATCAATCAATTGATCAATCAATTAATCAATCAATCAATCAATCAATCAGTCAATCAAGTATTTGGGGGGGCAGAAGGGGCGGAAAGGAGGCGATTCCAAATGGAATCCATTACGTAATCGATTTCATTTGGGAATGACCTCCCACCCCCCTCATTCTTGATTGATTGATTGATTGATTGATTGATTGATTGACGAGTTTCTCATCAGCAGCGAAGGGGTTAGAAGCGGGGTTGGGCGGAGGAGCGGCGGAGGGGTAGGAGCGGGGGAGGGGG